TAAAAAAGAGAATACTTTCAACAAAAAACTCGCCCCGTTGGAAAAATCTCTTGTAACTACTCTTTTCGATTATCGAAAATGGAATAGGCCTTTGCGATATATAAAAAATGATCACTTTGAAAGGGTTGTAAGAGATGAAAATTCACAATTTTTTTTTCAGGTATGTCAAAGTGATGGAAAAAAACGAATATCTTTCACGTATCCACCTCATTTATCTACTTTTCTGAAAATCATGGAAAAAAAAATGGATCTCTTCAGAAGAGATAAAACCTCCTATAATGATAATGAATTGTCTAATTATTGGAGCTCTGTTAATAAAGAAAAAGGAAATAAACTAATCAATGAATTTTTTCAAAGGGCAAAAATGATAGATAATAAATCTATTAAATTTAGTCCTGTGGATGTATTTGAAAATCGAATTAGATTGTCTGATGATAATAGGAAAACAAAATACTTAACTAAAATATATGATCCTTTCTTGAATGGACGCGTTCGTGGAGAAATCCAAAAAGGCTTTTCACCCTTCATTCCAAATGAAACTGACACAACAAACTACATTTTGATAAATAAGATTCATGGTCTCCTTCTTTCTATTAATAGTAATGATCCAGAATTTGAACAGAAAATAGATCAATTTGATAGAAAATTATTATTAAATGAAATTGGTTTTTTTTTTAACTTAATCAGTAAATTTTCGGAAAAATCAGTATCAAGTTTGAATTTTGACGGACTTTATTTATTTCCAGAACATGAACAAGTAAAAATATATTCCGAAGAAAAAAAAACAAAAAGAAAATTATTATTGGACGCAATTCGAACTGATCCTACTAATAATACAATTTTTAATAGAAAACTATGTAGTGAAATAAACGAAATAAGTAAAGAAGTTCCTCGATGGTCATACGACTTAGTCGACGAATTGGCGGTATTGATGGACGCGAGTCCAAAGGAGTCTCAGATTCGTTCCCCAAAAGCTGACCGTATAGTTCTTTTTAATAGTAAAACAGATTCTAATGACAATCAGAATAGTGCTGAACCGGACAGAAATACTGAATTTGCTGTAGTTCATTATTCACGCGAACCAGATTATTGCCGAGACCTAATCAGAGGATCTATGCGCCCTCAAAGGCGTAAAACAGTAACTTATAAACTCTTTCAAGGAACTGCACACTCCCCTCTTTTTTTGGAGATAATGGGCGACTACGCGTTCTTGTTTGGTGATCTTGTCTATGATATCTCCCAATATTTGAAAGAATATTTCAGGAAACCGGGTACTGATAATTCGGAATTTTTGGCGTTTGAGAAAACGATAGAACAGAAAGAGATAGAGGAAAACAAAGACGAGTCTGAAATAAGACTTAGACAAATCGAAGAAGCCTGGGAGAGCATTCTCTATGGTCTAATAATCAGAAGTTTTGTATTACTATTCCAATCAATATTTAGAAAATATATTCTATTACCTTCATTGATAATCACAAAAAATATCATTCGTATACTATTATTTCAAAATCCTGAATGGTCAGAAGATTTGAGGGATTGGAGAAAAGAAGTCCATATTTACTGCACCTATCAGGGCGTTCCAGTATCTCACACCGCGTTGCCAACAAACTGGTTCTGGGAGGGTATTCAGATAAGGATCTTATTCCCTTTTGTTCTGAAACCGTGGCACAATAAGGTACGATCTACTGAAAAAAAAAAAAAATCTACTGAAAAAAAAAAAGATCCACTGAAAGAAAAAAACTTATGGTTTTTAACAGGTTATGGAACACAAGTCGAATCGTACCTTGATGATCATGTCCCAAACCCTTTTTTATTTTTGGGTCCCATTTTAAAAAAAATAAAAAAACAATTGAAAAAAGATTTGAAAAATCGTTTTTTTCTAGTTCTAAAAGTTTTTAATGAAAGAAAAAAGGGGTCTCGAATCGTGTTAGAAGAAATCGAAAATAGGTTCAAAAAAAGAGATGAATTGAGTGAAAGCAAAAAAAATTCAACAATCAGTAAGAGTAATCCAATGATTGAGGAATCGCCCGTTCTAATTCAATCTATGAATTGGACAAATTTCACAGAAAAAAGGATAAAAGATCTTAATGTTAAAACAAAGACAATCTTAAAACAACTAGAAAAAATGACAGAAGAAAAAAAAGAGGGGGTTATAACTTTAGAGATTAATTTGAATTCTACCAAAACTACTTATGATGCTAAAAGATTAGAATTACTAAAAAATAGTTTGAAAATATTAAAAAGAAGAACCGTTCGATTAATCCGTAAATCCTATTTTTTTTTTCAAATTTTAATGGGAAGGATATACATAGAGATCGTTTTCTCTATCACTCGTATTATTATGATGTCTGGACAACGTTTTCTTAATATTATTGAATTAACAGACAAAATTGTAAATGTATTTATTTCCATTTACACTAAAAAAAAAAATGAACAAAGAGTTCATAAAACAAATGAAAGTATAATTCCATTTATGTCGATTATAGACAAATCTTGGAATATTACAGATATGAATTCACAGAATTCTTGTGATGTATCTTCTTTGTCACAAGCCTATGTATTTTTTAAATTATCACAAGTTAGTAATGGATATAAATATAAGTTAAGATCTATTTTTGAATCTCATGGAAGATCTTTGTTTCTTAAGAATGAAATAAAAGATTATTTTTTTAGAATACAAGGAGGAAGATTAAATTCCAAATTAAGACATAAGAACCGTCCCGATTCTATAATGAATCAATGGATAAATTGGTTAAAGGTTCATTATCAATATGCTTTACCTCAGAGCGGATGGTCAAAATTAGTACCACAAAAGTGGAGGAAGAGAATCCATGAACATCGCGTGGCTCAAAAGAAAAATTTAGTTGAATATGATTCATCTGAAAAAAACCAATTCATTTTTTACAAAAAACAAAAAAAACAACAAGTAGATTTATTAGAAAAAAAAAAAAAAATAAAAAAACAATATGGATATGATCTTTTCTCCTATCAATATATAAATTATGCAGATAACAAAAAATCCTATATTTATGGATATAAATCACCATTGCAAGCAAACAAAAACCAAACGATTAATTACAACATACCTAAAAATAAAAAAGAATTATTTGATATAATGGGCGATAGCTTTATCCAAAATTATATAGCAGAAGATGGTATTATAGATATGGATATGGAAACAATGGAAAAAAATCTGAATAGAAAGTATCTAAATTGGATGGGAAAAAGAAAAAAGAATTCCAAAACGAATCAGAAATTATTGACTCCGAGATTTGGGTTCTTTTCAAAACATATAAGAAGAATCCTTGGATCTTACCAATGAATTTCTTTTTTGTGCAGTTTTATGGAAACAAAAACATTACTGATGTAGCCAAGTTAAAGTTAGAAAAGAAAGAATACGGGAAGCAAGCAGATCTCAAATCATATCTCTCAAACTATTATAGGGACACTCGGTATAGTATAACTAGATACAGGAAGGATCTAAATGGCGAACAAAATTTCTTACTAGATAAATATTTTGGTTTTTATTTGCACTGTAAGACTCCCGTCCAAGAAACACTAATGGATAATATCAACTTATATTGTCTCCTGGTTAGATTGAAAAATCTAAAACAATTTTTCATAATGTCTATAAAAAAGGCAGACCTCGATTTTGAAATTACGGCGCGTCTGCAGATGAAGGACACTTGTTATACAGAATGTAGGGACACAGAGGAATTGAGGGACAACCTAATGTTTTTTATTGAACCTATTCGTATTTCTAGAAAAAACTATGAACAATTTTTTATATATCAAACCATAAGCATATCATTGAGGCACAAACGTAAAATTTTGAAAAGAAACTATGATTTACTTGTTCCTGAAAATCTTTTGTCCACTAGACGCCGTAGAGAATTGAGAATTCTAATTTGTTTGAACCCACAGAATAGAAATACTGTGCATAGAAACACAATAAATGACACTGAGAAAAAACGAAATAATTCTTCTGAAGTTTTGACTCAAAATGAAGATATTGATAGCGATACAAAAAAACTAATGACTTTAAAATTCTTTCTTTGGCCAAATTATCGATTCGAAGATTTAGCTTGTATGAACCGCTATTGGTTTGATACACATAATGGAAGCCGTTTCAGTATATTAAGAATACATATGTATCCTCGATTGAAAATCTAGATTTTTGTTCTATTTATCATTATCATAATATTTCAGATATCTATCTGATATCTGATATGTGAACATATATATATATATATAAATAAATATTTATTTATATATATATATATATGTTCACATATAATTGATAATTGCAATAAATAAAATAAACGCGCACACGCATTGTGGGATTGATACGACTTCAATGATGTCTCCATTAGATAGAAATAAATCAATAGAAAAATGAATAAATCAAAATTGTCTTTTTTTTTTTTATTTTTTAAATACAAGACAATAGAATTTTTTATTTTTTGAATACATAAATATAGTATTTATTCTCTATTTGAATTACATTCCTTAATAAGGAATTTGAAAAAAAAAAATTCAGAATTGTGAAAATTGTTAAATAAATTAAGGTAAAATTTGATATAAAAAATTCAAAATGAGTGTCATTACTATTACTGATCAATAAAAATATCTACCAAAAAGGAGGGGGAAAGAAAAGCTTTCATTTTATGATAAAAAATTCATTTATACCTGTTATTTCACAAAAAAAAAAAGAAGAAGAAAACCCGGGATCGGTTGAATTTCAAGTATTCAACTTCACTAATAAAATACAAAGACTTACTTCACATTTTAAATTACACCCAAAAGACGATTTATCTCAAGGAGGTTTACGTATAATTCTGGGAAAACGGAAACGACTATTGTCGTATTTGTCAAAGAAAAACAAAATACGTTATCAAAATTTAATAAATCGGTTGGGTATTCGGGATTCACAAATTAGGTAATTTAAAGAATCATTTTCAATTATTCGATTTATTAGATACTGAATTTTGATGAACTTTTTTTTTTGAACGATTCATGGAAGAATGAATCGAGGAAAAACCTATGAATATCCCAGCTACAAGAAAAGACCTCATGATAGTAAATATGGGGCCTCAACACCCATCGATGCATGGTGTTCTTCGACTTATTGTTACTCTGGATGGTGAAGATGTTATTGATTGTGAACCAATATTGGGTTATTTACACAGAGGTATGGAAAAAATAGCGGAAAACCGAACAATTATACAATATCTGCCTTATGTAACACGTTGGGATTATTTAGCGACTATGTTCACAGAAGCAATAACTGTAAACGGGCCGGAACAATTGGGAAATATTCAAGTACCTAAAAGAGCCAGCTATATACGAGTAATTATGTTGGAGTTAAGTCGTATAGCTTCTCATCTACTATGGTTGGGACCTTTTATGGCAGATATTGGTGCACAAACCCCTTTTTTCTATATTTTTAGAGAAAGAGAATTAATATATGATCTATTCGAAGCTGCGACAGGTATGAGAATGATGCATAATTTTTTTCGTATTGGGGGGGTAGCCGCTGATCTACCTTATGGTTGGATAGATAAATGTTTTGATTTCTGCAATTATTTTTTAACAAGGGTTATTGAATATCAAAAACTTATTACGCGAAATCCAATTTTTTTAGAACGGGTTGAAGGAGTAGGTTTTGTTGGTAGAGAGGAAGTTATAAATTGGGGGTTATCAGGACCGATGCTTCGGGCTTCCGGAATACAATGGGATCTACGTGAAGTTGATAATTATGAGTGTTACGAGGAATTGGATTGGGAAGTTCAATGGCAAAAAGAAGGAGATTCATTAGCTCGTTATTTAGTTCGAATTGGTGAAATGGTGGAATCCATAAAAATAATTCAACAGGCTTTGGAAGGAATTCCAGGGGGGCCTTATGAAAATTTTGAAATCCGCTGCTTTGATAGAGAAAAGGAGCCAGAATGGAATGATTTTGAATATCGATTCATTGGTAAAAAATCGTCTCCTACTTTTGAATTGCCGAAACAAGAACTTTATGTGAGAGTTGAGGCCCCCAAGGGAGAATTAGGAATTTTTCTAATAGGAGATCAGAATGGTTTTCCTTGGAGATGGAAAATTCGTCCACCTGGTTTTATCAATTTGCAAATTCTTCCTCAATTAGTTAAAAGAATGAAATTGGCTGATATTATGACAATACTAGGTAGCATAGATATCATTATGGGAGAAGTTGATCGTTGAAATGAGAATTGATACAACGGAAGTCCAAGATATAAACTCCTTTTCCGGATTGGAATCTTTCAAAGAGGTCTATGGAATTCTATGGATACTTGTACCAATTTTGATTCTTATCTTGGGAATCACAATAAGTGTACTAGCAATTGTATGGTTAGAAAGAGAAATATCAGCAGGGGTACAACAGCGTATTGGACCTGAATACGCTGGTCCTTTTGGAATTCTTCAAGCTCTAGCAGACGGAACAAAACTACTATTCAAAGAGAATCTTATTCCATCTAGGGGAGATATTCGTTTATTCAGTATTGGACCATCCATATCAATAATATCAATTCTAATAAGTTATTCAGTAATTCCCTTTGGCTATAACTTTGTTTTATCTGATTTCAAGATAGGTGTTTTTTTATGGATTGCTATTTCGAGTATTGCTCCCATTGGACTTCTTATGTCAGGATATGGCTCAAATAATAAATATTCCTTTTTGGGTGGTCTACGAGCTGCTGCTCAATCGATTAGTTATGAAATACCATTAACTCTATGTGTCTTATCAATATCTCTACGTGCGATTCGTTGAAACCAAAAAAGTTATTCGATGCTATTGCTATGCTCCTCTCTTTATAGTACTATATAGGAAAGGAGGCGAATCAATTGAATAGAAACCTTCATTATCTTTATTTTTCTCCGATTGAAGAACTAAATTAGATAGTTATATGAGTGAAATAAAACAGCTTATATTGAATAGAATTTCAGAATACTTTCTTACTTCTAGTTAATAGATAGTATGATGATTTTTAATGGCAGTAAAAATATTGAGTCTCATTTTCTATGTATAAGAATGAAATAAAATTATAAACAGAAGAGGCCATTTAACCCAAGATTGGATAATTTGTCATCCTGTTTTGAAGCGGGCTCTAAAGACCAACCTTATTGAGTTTTAGTTACCATTTTTATGAATTCTCATAGATATATTAAAATAAATAAGGGGGATTAATAAAAAAGAGTGGATGGTTAGAAACACCAAGATACACAAAGGATTAGTAACACAGATTTTGTAAATTATCCAAAAGACAATTTACGCAGAATATAAAAAGAATACTAATTGGGGCTTTAAGTTGGTAGAAAAAATAAAGCAGTACTCCCCACAACTCCGATCCAGAGTATGCTTCCATCCACTCATTAAATAAATGACTATCAGGAACGAAAAAATCCTTTAAAATTTTTTAAGTCCCTTTTTCATAGCACAAAAAAGAAGAATAGGAACGAAAAAAAAAACATAAGAAATCAAAAACGAAAGAGAAATCTATTTTTCGTTTTTGATTTCTTATATCCATATCCATATTCATGGAGATCAAATCATAATTAAGAAACGAATGTTTAATTCTTTTTCGTAATTCAAAATCATGAGGGCTATTGAGAATTATAAAAGAGTATTTTATTGAAGAATTCAGTTATTACTCAACAAATTTTTATTTTTGAGGGATGAGATCAATTCAGAAGTGCCTTACATTGGATCTTTTATTAAACTATATTTCTCTTTCTTATTTCGTTATTTCTAGAACAGACAGAATTGAATTGGTCTAATTCAGAACCGTTCGATCTATTTTCATCTTCTATATCTTAGGGATATAGCAAGAGAGAAATAATTGACCCGGTCCTTAGATTTACTTAAGGCTTTCCAGGAGCCGTATGAGGTGAAAATTTCATGTACGGTTCTGTAATAGAGATGGGAACAGTAATGTTATCACCGACTAGGATTATCTAACAGTTTAAGTACAGTTGATATAGTTGATGCGCAAGCAAAATATGGTTTTTGGGGTTGGAATTTGTGGCGTCAACCTATGGGTTTCATCGTTTTTCTAATTTCTTCGCTAGCAGAATGTGAAAGATTACCTTTTGATTTACCAGAAGCAGAAGAAGAATTAGTAGCTGGTTATCAAACAGAATACTCAGGTATTAGATTTGGTTTATTTTACGTTGCTTCCTATTTAAACCTTTTAATTTCTTCATTATTTGTAACAGTTCTTTACTTGGGCGGTTCAAATATCTCTATTCCGTACATATTTGTTTCTGAATTTTTTGAAATAAATAAAACATACGGAGTTTTTGGAACTACAATTGATCTCTTTATTACATTAGCTAAAAGCTATTTTTTCTTATTTGTTTCTATCATAACAAGATGGTCTTTGCCTAGGCTAAGAATGGATCAATTATTAAATCTTGGATGGAAATTTCTTTTACCTATTTCTCTCGGTAATCTATTATTAACAACTTCGTCTCAATTGTTTTCGCTGTAAAAGATGGATCTTCTATATTCATTACTTGTCTCAAATAAGAGAAAGAAATAAAACAAAACTATTCATAGATATTTACGATATGTTCCTTATGGTAACTGGGTTCATGAATTATGGTCAACAAACAGTCCGAGCTGCAAGGTACATTGGTCAAAGTTTCATGATTATCTTATCTCACGCAAATCGTTTACCTGTAACTATTCAATATCCTTATGAAAAATTAATCACATCAGAACGTTTCCGCGGTCGAATCCATTTTGAATTTGATAAATGCATTGCTTGTGAAGTATGTGTTCGTGTATGTCCTATAGATTTACCCGTTGTTGATTGGAAAATGGAAACGGATATTAGAAAGAAACGATTGCTAAATTACAGTATTGATTTCGGAATCTGTATTTTTTGTGGTAACTGTATTGAGTATTGTCCAACAAATTGTTTATCAATGACTGAAGAATATGAACTTTCAACTTATGATCGTCATGAATTGAATTATAATCAAATTGCTTTGGGCCGTTTACCAATGTCAATAATTGATGATTATACAATTCGAACAATTCAAATCAAATAAAAAAAGACAATTTTTTATAATTTAATAAAATACAATTCTAAAAAAAAAAAGAATATTCTATATATATATAGATTTCTATATATATATAGAATATATATAGAATATATAGAATAATCGAAATAAAATATTTTCAAAAATTGTATAAAAAATGAATCATATAATCGATATTGGATTAGAAATATTCTCTAATTATTAGAGAAATATATTCTTAAATAGAATAGAGAAATATATTATCGAAATTTGAAATATTCTTTAATTTAAAGACTAGTTCAAATGGTTATATATGTTCTATCTACCTTTATACTTTAGTTTTAATATCGTTTCAAACTACTCTTTCGTATAAAGAGTAGTTTAAGTGGAATGACATTGATTATATAACCGTAACTATATCAATTTAAACTACTTAGGTTTTTTCAATGCAAAGAAAAATTTAAGTATATAACAATTTTTTCCTGGTCATATCAATAAGGTCATGAAATTTCGATTTCTTTGTCTTTTTTTTTTTTACATATAATGGATTTGCCTGAAACGCTGCACGATTTTCTTTTAGTCTTTCTGGGATCGGGTCTTATATTAGGAAGTTTAGGAGTAGTATTACTTACCAACCCCATTTTTTCTGCTTTTTCGTTGGGACTGGTTCTTGTTTGTATCTCTTTCTTATATATTTTAGCAAACTCGCATTTTGTAGCTGCATCACAGCTACTTATTTACGTGGGAGCTATTAACATTTTAATCATATTTGCTGTGATGTTCATGAATAGTTCCGAATATTACCAAGATTTTCATCTTTGGACCATAGGGGATGGAATTACTTTGATAGTTTGTACAAGTATTTTTGTTTCACTAATAACTATTATTTCAGATACATCATGGTACGGAATTATTTGGACTACAAGACCAAATCAGATTATTGAACAAGATTTGATAAGTACTAGTCAACAAATTGGAATTCATTTATCAACAGATTTTTTTCTTCCATTTGAACTAATTTCAATAATTCTTTTAGTTTCTTTGATAGGTGCAATTGTCGTAGCTCGCCAGTAAGAAATCTTTAGAGAACTACTAATATAAATCAAGACTATATATATATATGTATTTTTTTTTTTTCAATGTGAAGTGAAAGAGTTTTTAGGTAGAAATTCTTTTTTTTTATTGCCAATATATTCTTTTGTTGCAGACTTGTTATATTCTTTAGTCAATTGAATCTGTTGAATTGTTGTTCATATTGAAATGAATCAAAATTGATAAGGAGTTGGTCAATGATGCTCGAACATGTACTTGTTTTGAGTGCCTATTTATTTTCTATTGGTATCTATGGATTGATCACGAGCCGAAATATGGTTAGAGCCCTTATGTGTCTTGAACTTATATTGAATGCAGTGAATATAAATCTAGTCACTTTTTCTGATTTTTTTGATAATCGCCAATTAAAAGGAAATATTTTTTCAATTTTTGTTATAGCTATTGCAGCCGCTGAAGCGGCTATCGGACTGGCTATTGTTTCCTCAATTGCTCGTAACAGAAAATCAACCCGTATCAATCAATCGAATTTGTTGAATAAATAGCATGAATCATATCATAATTAATAAAAAAGAAACAAAGTAGAATTTCAAATAGTGTAATATTAATCAATTCATTTTAGTATTTATTCGACACAACTTATGATCATATCATGTTTGCATTCCCTAAATCATAAGAAATCAAAGTATCCTGGTCCTCTTCTATTTCCTCTTCTAAATTTATCTAGACGCCTTTTTTATTAACAGTTAACAATATTATCACAAATCATTGATTCATCTGGTATATAAATATACGATTCATTTACGAGTTTACTAGATCGATAATTTTCATTTTTGAACATCAAAAATTACTATAGATATAATGTCACATTCAGTAAAGATTTATGATACATGTATAGGATGTACTCAATGTGTCCGAGCCTGTCCCACAGATGTATTAGAAATGATACCTTGGGATGGATGTAAAGCTAAGCAAATAGCTTCTGCCCCAAGAACAGAGGACTGTGTTGGTTGTAAGAGGTGTGAGTCCGCTTGTCCGACAGATTTCTTAAGTATTCGAGTTTATTTATGGCATGAAACAACTCGAAGTATGGGTCTAGCTTATTGATACGTTTCAAAAAACACCAC